ATTGCTCCAAAGAATTGCATAAATAAAACATAAGAATTAGCCTAAGTTGAACTGCAGGCAAGCTACAAGATGGAAAAGGAACCAGTCCATTAGTTTGCTTTTCTGTCCAGAAATGCAACTCTTAAAAGTACATACCTAGGACAAAAGGATAAATATAGGACATCAACCAAGTTGAAAAAGCAAGTAAAAAACTTTGCTCCTCCACCCTCCCAACCAATTAGCTCCAAGAAACTAAATATCCAGGAATAGGTACTGAAGCAAGTGGTAAATGTGCCAAGAGATGAAGGCTCTGGAACAGAGAACTCGTGACCTTTCTCTGCTTGCATCTACTGTGACATGGTATGATCATGCCCAACATCTTTCCTGCTAGCATGCTTCTTTCTCTCACAGAAAGATCCAGGCATTGTGGCTGGCACTATTGCACTCAGCAGCTGTCCACAGCCCACTAGCCAGATGTCAAAGTATCTCCCTCACAAACTCAATTCTTGTCCTGATTAGAGAATGTCTACTACCAGCCAGTGATATACATAAAGTGTAAGGAAAATAAAAGCTGAGGTATAATCAATAACTTTGCTTAACGTGCCCTGCACATGCAAAATCTGGACACCAGTAAGCAGCAAGTCAAATCAGACACAATAGAGCCACAACACTGTTGTGTAAAAATTAGTTATGACAAGGTCAGAAGTAAACAGTCTGAATCCAAACTATTCCAGTACCATAACAAGCAGCAGGTATAAAGTGTTTCTCCAAGTCCCCCAAAAGAAAATTTTTAAGTTGGTTGCACTGCAGAAAAAAAAGATGCAAGAATCTGAACCTCGATTTCACTATACAGGTAATCCTTGACCTACAACTATTCATTTAGTGATTGTTCAAAGTTACAATGGCACTGAAAACAGTGAGTTACAACCAATCCTCACACTTACGACAGATGCAGCACCCCCATAGTTATAGTATCCCCATGATCACATACTCAAAATTCAGGCACTTGGCAACAGACATGTATTCAGGAGCTCAGAGTTATGTGACTGCCATTTGTAACCTTCTCAGCTGGCTTCCAACAAGCAAAGTCAATAGGGGAAGCTGGATTTGCTTGTTAACTATATAATTCTCTTAACTACAGTAATTCACTTAACTGTGGCAAAAACTCATAAAATTGGGCATGACTCATATAAGAGCCACCTTGCATAGCAAAGGAAATTCTGGTCCCAATTGTAGTCAAGTTGAAATTACCTGTAAACACAGCTTGCCTGAAATTCCTTGGGAACAACTTCATTAGCTTTTCCTAACAACAAAACCTACTTACCTAATCCTGCTTCTAGTTTCAGCATCTCCTGACAGAAGCCTAAGAAATTGTCGCTGGGAACAAGCAGCTTATTAAAAAATTTCTGCCATCTCAGAAATGGGTGAGATCCTTATTAAAGGAGCAGAAAGTCGAAATCTTCTACAATTCATGGCCCCCTGAAGAGCAACAACTGTGTTACCAAACTGTTAGCTAAAGACTAGCCATAGGAAATAAGTTACAATATTGCTTCATTCAGAATGTCTAAAAAAGATTTCTGCTTTCAGAGGCAAACCTTTTTCACTTCCTTTCCTGGCCAGTCCACCGGAAAAAGAACAAAAATGTATTGTATCTGCAGACTAAGTGCTGCACAGCGTTAAGTAGGCAAAGGCCTACCATTTAGAGGCGTTTGAACTAGAAAGTGTAGCAATTCAAATGTCAGGAAATGGTCTCAGATGTGAAAATACTCCCGATTCACAGCATTTCCTCCCATTATAATTCCTAGCTAGCATGTCAACCTAAACTTTTCCCAAAAGCTAATTATGGACAGTGTGTGTGCACACGTGTGCTTGGGGATGAAAATAATCTGAGCTAACATAGCCATGACCTACATTTGCTATGTAGAGAAACCCACTGTAGTCAAGAACTGAACATATGAAGCAAACAGAGCATAACAGTAGTAGAACAACTGGAACAAGGCAGTAACTGGCAAACTCGGTGTTGAAGTGTTTCAAGCCTGCCCAGGAGGCATCACGTACCTTCTGCTTGAACTCTCCATATACCCATTTCACCAAGAACATGTGATAAGCCATAATCGTTAAAATAATGAAGCCTTAGTAAGTTTGAACAATCAACAATGGTTGCACCATTATATGATACTGAAGAATGCTGCCTCACATTCCCTACAACGTAACTAAGAGAAGCATTCACACCGTGTATAGGACGCTGGAGTTGCAGTTTCCTTGCAATAACCAGGGGGTTGGACTAGATGACTCCCGAAACCCCTTTTTCCACTGTGATATAGTGGGCAGGATTTTGCTCGCTGGTTTTTAAAAGGTGCACGCCCTCCTCTCATTTCACAGGACGCAAAACACAAGACTGCTTGAAAGCGGTTTTCGAATAAAACTATACACTTTGCAAATCCCAAACTATGACCCCGCGCACCATAACTCCGTCACGGAACACTTCATTTAAGCCAAGGTGCTTTCAAGTTGTACAGGATTTTTGTTTTTGTTGTTTTGCTTTTACAAGACGGCAGACTACGCGTGCCTGATTCAGTTCCCCCAGCCTAACGCCCTCCAGATGCACGCTGGCAATTATGAGTAACATAAAACTGTTGCTGCGGAAGGCGATTCCTATCAACCCGAACGGACTCCGTCTTTCCCGCTCCCGCCGGCCCGCCCTACCCAGCGGCAGCCACACCAAAACTTCTCACCTTGCTTTTCAGAAAAGGGGCGTGGTTCGCCTTCGCCAATAGCAGCAGCCCATTGAGCGGGAAGGGAATTTCCGAAAAACTATCTGGGCTCAATTCTGTTTTTTCAGCACAGGCAAAGCAACTGTCCACTCGGGAGTGTTTTTAAGCCACAGCTTCCCTCTTCTCCAAAGTCTACAAGTCAAGCGCCTTTGGCGTCCGGCGACTAGCCCCACCAGTCACCGCCGCCAATAAAATATGTGGTTCACTTTCATCCGACCCCGCCCATCCTCTTTATAAGCCCCGCTCCTTCCCCCACCCCGAACGTTTGAAATTCCTCGCGCGCCTAAACGAGAAACTCTGCTGTCCGTTATACGACACGTAGATTGAGAAGCGAGAAACTTGATTGGTCTCCGACACTCATGGGCAGCTCTAACTGGACAGGGTTTTTTAACAGAATCACCGTTTTCTCATCTGATAGGTTAAGAAAGCAGTACAGAGTCTTAAATCCCGCCCCTCCTGCTTTCTGTTTGGCTGAACTCCTAAAGCGTTCCACCAGTAAGTCCCACCTTTCAGCTCTCGGTTGGAAAAAACTGTTATCCCACCTCTCTCCTGCCTCGTTTTTTTTTTTCTAACGGTTCGCGGACTAAGGCAAGAACATCGAATGACTGGCAGTTTTGTTATCCAATGAGACACTATCTTTAACAGATTAACTTCTGCAACAGGTTTTAGGGAAAGCAAATTTGTGCTTCTGTCCTGCAAAATTTGGGCGAGGTAAATGACTCTTCCTAGGGAGAGAAGCAGCCTCATTGAAGTAAACGGGTTATAGTGTGTCACTGGGGAGGCTTCTTAATGTTTTCCAGATGCCGAAGATATGTTTACTTTGTGTAAACTTGTCTAGGATCAAGGCGCAAATCTGGAGTTTTAATTGAAGCTTCCAGTTTTTGATCTTGTGACTTTTTGTGTATTAACGAAATGTTCTTTTCCATACAAATTCCTCTAAGTAGAGAACTTTAAAATACTACAAAAAACATGTACAGTACAAAGTTTAGTTTTAGTTTAGTTTAGTTTTATTAAATTTATACCCCGCCCTTCTCCCGGAGGACTATTATGCACTCCTAGTTTTTGAAAAGGTGCTCTGTAAAACGCATTAGCAAAGTTGATCTTTCCCTTGCTCTCCAAATCAAACATACCTTTACTTAATTAGTTGGATAATTCAGGAGAAAGGAAATAATTCCCCACTCACAAATATAAAGAATTTAAATACATAACAGCAAGTGTATGTTTTGAGAATTGTGTAGTCACAACAGAACAATTGTTAACTCTACTAGCCTAATTGCTTGGCTTTTCAATGTAAGCTAGTGAATGAATTAGCACAACATACAAAACCACAAACTACTGAACATTTTACCCTAACAGATTTGCATCAAGCCAGAAGTATTAAATATATAGTAGTCTGCATCATGTAGTATGTCACCAGTAGTTTAACATCTTTAACAGCATCATAACCTTTAATAGTGACAGCATCAATACTACACAGAGCAGGAATTCCCAACCAGGGGTGCGATTCATTGCTGTTATTTCAAACTTTTGTAAGGGGAGCGAGAATATATCAGAAGCGTTCTAGGGGTGCGGGGTATAGAAAAGGTTGGGAGCTACTGACAGTACACAAAAGAAAAAAGGGTCTAGAAAGCCACATTTATGATATGTGCATTTATTATCCATAATATAATAATTGGACATGGCTCCACTTGTATAATTTGTAGTTGTGTTTTTATCATGCAAAATTGGTTAATGATTTCTGCCTTTTGAGGTACAAAGATTGTATGACAAATTGTCTGTACAATCCCAAGTTGGCTTTGTAGTCCCAAGCTACATGGTTAGTTTATGGTTGTTTGTAATGCAAACCCAGAAAACTGAGTCATGTAAATACCACGAGCTACAGTAGTGTGCTTTGTATATTCTCCACTATTTTTATTTAATGCACTGAATTCAACTGAAGATGCTCTAGCTGCTAGTCCACTAATAACAGTAATCAGAAGTTCAGAACCTGGCTTCTAACTTGTTAAAGTGTTTGCATCATTTGTTTGCTGTTCCCATTTGAGGAAGTCAAATGGAAACAGTGTATACATTTGTTCATGGTAAATCAGATTTTAGGAAGCTGGACTGAAATATGAGGTTCCTATTAGGGAGAAGGGAAAAATCAAAATATTGCAATAATTTTGCATGTAAAATCTTATTCGGTCTTAAAGATTATTGCACACTATTTCACACATTTTCTTAAGTATTTCCAATATGAATACACAAATCTTCCACAATAAAGTGAGTTTATTGATTTGCTTGATGGCAGTAAAAGCACATGTAAGACAGAAACATTATCTTGGTCACAATTAAGTCTGCTTATTTGTTAAGTTTATATCTCCTTTCCTTCAGAAAACTCATAGCAGCATATAAGCAGCTTCCTGTTTCCATTTTCCCCACAACAACTTGTGAGGTAGGTTGGGTTGAGAGAGTATGAATGGACCCAAATCGCTGTGAGCTGCTGTAGAGGAAGCTGGACTTAAGCCTGCATCTCCTTGGAACCACTCCATACTTAATAATTATATCAGACAGTACCATTAGTAATATATACTTGAAGAATTTAGATGACCACGTTCCCAAAAGAGGTACTTGCATTTTTGTTAAATAAAAACTAATTATGCATTAACTTTTTCAGGCAGGAAATAGCCCATGGAAAATTTACCCAACTTAGTTTTGGAATGTCGGGCTGAAGAGGAGAAAGTCAAGTAGGATAGGAATCAAAGACAAGAGAAGGTAACCATAAACTCCGATGAGCATTATTGGTCCACGTGGAATAGTCAGATCCAGTTAATGTGCAATTACAGATAAGAAAGAAGGAATGATATACTGATGGGATGAGAATTGTATTATAAAACAGTTTTAAGCTTATTTGCACTCAGAATCCGGTCCAAAACCCATGAAACTAATATTAAGTGCAATTGTCAAAAAATTAAAAGTTAAACATTGCAGGTTTTGGAATCATAAGGGGTTACTTTTGATTGACTACCTAGAGAACCAAGCAGCTGTCACCCTGCTCTTCAGAATTCATTTTCATAATTTCATAACCCTTCTTTACTTCATCCCTGTCAAATCAATTGGCAAAGGTGCTCTTCACAGCTGTTATTATGTGTTTTGCACTGATCCCAAAGAGATCTAAGAGCTCAGCAGGTTTTCCACTCCGAGGCACACCTGACACAGCTAGACTCTGGACTAAAATTCCAGGTTCTCCAGAGACAGCTGCAGCCACAGCTTCACCAATACCACCTAAAGAGAAAAGGAAAAAGGGATGGATATAAATGGAGATTTTCACTCAGAGCATGTTTGGTACAATCTGCTCCCTTTAACAGCTTCATATGAAAGTCTGAGTTACAAAGTACATGTATTTTGTATGTAACTCAAAGTTACAAAGTTACATATACACTTCCCTTTATGAATTAAACTCATCAAGAAATAGGTTTACATATTTTAGCAGCAAACATCTACCTTTTGACTTTCTTATTCAGAAAGAGAAACAGAGGGACTGCAAGAAACATTAAAACTTAAGGAATTTATAAAGATGTGCTTATTTTCTAGTTTGACACTGCAGGTCCAAAGGAAAGCATCTATTTTTCTTTCCACTGTATAATAGAAGCTCTTTTACCCATTCATTGCCTTGCATTCTGACTATGAACAGATAGAAGCACACAAATAGCTTCTTTTATAGAGCAGTTGAGATTGTGCTTGCAGCAGGCCTTGTCTTACTTTAGGTTTGACCATTCTCAAGTTAGTAGTCCTCAAGGCTGGGATAAGCTGCAATTCGACTTGTCCCTCTCTCGAGTTCTCCCGTGTTGAATTGTCCCATGGCAAGTTGTCCCATTCCGACTACTGTCTCACTTTTGACAGTTCACTAATCGACCATTTGGTGGGCAGAAAGAATGTGTGGACAGACTGAGTTCTTGTATTTAGTGACACTTCAGGCATATGCCAAATGGCGGATAAGCAGGCTGCTGAATCGTCTGACTGTAGCCCTCTAATGTTTATGATATGACAGAAATATACTGCTAAAGCTGAAAAGTGTGGTACCATTTTTATAAGAGCCTGTTGACCAGATGCAAAGAAACACATTGCACCGGGGACCTCAACATGAGGAAAGGGATATACAGCCCTACCCAGCAACTGGCATCACAAGTAGCCCGCAAATATAAAAAGACTGCCACATTTGTTTTAACAGAAACTGAATGGCCATCTGGCAATCAATCACCATACTAGGTTGTACTCCCAATGTATAATTTTTCTCTACAAGGCACAGCAGTAGGTGTTTCTAAACTATTGAACAGCACATGAAAAAGTGGTAGTATAAACATATAATCAATCTTGGCAATCGCAGAAGCAAAACTAGTTTGTAAAAAAAAAAGTTACTAAAATAGGGGATCTGGGGTACTGCATCTTTAGCCATATTCAATTTCTCCTAAGAATGTCTGAAAAAATGTATTTAGTTAACTACTTAACTTCTTTGTAATGATCCTCAACTGTAATGATATGTCCCCCAGTGGCTCTGGCATTGGAAATGATGGTATCAGCATCCAAAGGTTTGATTGTAAATGGATCAATTACCCGGATATAGATCCCTAGAAAAAAAAAGCAAAATACTAATGAGAAGAATGAAACAAAAAATTCTATTAAAATTGCTGGTCAAGTCAACATATATAATTGGATTTATAATCTCCAAAGCTCCAGTGTCCAATACCTTGTTTGGCTAGTTCATCGGCAGCTGAAAGGGCTTCATGAAGTGTGACACCTGCTCCAATAACCGTTACTCTGTCAGCATCACTTATACGGACTACCTATAAAAAGTAATCAATCATAAAAAGTAAACTAAAATCATACAGAATAAGAGAAAGGGAAGTATTTTAGAACTGAGAATTAATGTATTCCAAGCAAGTATGAAGAAATTATCAGAATAGGCAGAACTTCACTGTTGACATGTACCGTCCCCCTAATGTGCTTGCTTGCAAACACTATTACCAAGAATTCTCCATGCACATCATCAAAGGTTACCTAAAGAGGCCTGGTGGTTCACAACTGATCCAATAAGTGGGTGGTTGTCTATTTCTACTGCAGAGATACAGCAACATTGAAACCCCTAAAAAGGAGTATTATCTAATCCAAGAGGAAACTGTTTTCTCATGAACAAATTCTACATAATTATGAGAAAGTGCACTACATATGGAGAACAACTTGCCCTTAATGGTAAGACTACATCTATCACCCAATCCATGTTCAACTACAACTTTCCTATACAGTGCACCAAATGAATGACACTTCCAAGTCACCAAGATGATAAAATAATTATGATAACAATTGAAAATATTGAAAAATAAACTCTCTTGTTCTACCCAAGACAACTAAACTGGCTTCCTTTAAACAATTGCTGTCTGGATGCAATCTCTTTAATATTGCTTTGTTTGAGCTAACTCTTAATCCAAATTCCAGGGACTTATTTCTACAGCTAGGAAAAACAGGAACTCAACTCACTTCTTATTTGTCAAAAGCATATATACTGATGCTAGGATAAGTAAAAACTGTTATTGTCAGAATAGAATCAGTCTTCTGCCACCTAATGGTAGACTACAGTACTTGATGCAATAACTTGTATATTCCCTTTTGATTGGTCAGGCAGGCAAGGATGGTCTATGTCAATGATGGTGAACCTTTTAGAGCCCGAGTGCCCAAAAACCGCCCCTGCCCCCACTCTGCCTCCTGCCCTGCCTGCTCCGCCCCCGCCCGCCCCCTGCCCCACCCACCCACCGCCTCCATGGCCCGCCGCAGATCACCCAGGCAGCCCTGCAGCGCCATGACAGCCATGCCTTCTGCCCCCACCCCACAGCATCATTTGCACGCTATGGGGCGCAAGGGCGGAGTCTTGTCCCTGCTGCCTGGCTATGTCCTTGGCTGCGCTGCTCCGTGCAGGCTGCGCTTGGAGGCAACTCTCCTCCAGGGGGCTGCTGGTGAGAAGGGGGCTCTGAGTGCCACCTCTGGCACGCGTGACATAGGTTCGCCACCACTGGTCTATGTTAAAGGTTTAGCTTTAGAAATAGGATCGCTCTTTGTATATAAACTCCCTTGTTTATTTCATAGCATTTCTAAATAATTTCAGACTGTGTTCCTTATTTTATCTGAAGTCAAGCTGTTTACTTGGGGAAAAAATATTTGGATGCCATAATTCTTTCCCAGCACATTTCAGTTCATGATATAGGACTCCATTCAAATATTCCACTACCATTATAGGCCAAATTACCTAATACAGAATTCTTTCTTTGGATCTTTGAAAGCTGAACTAGAACCAGAAATCATGTGTTTCAAATCCTTTACCTTGGCATGGCCAACTTCAAACTTTTCTTCCTGAGAATACAGGATAGGAGTTTCTGGACGACTGGTACGAATGAAGCATATTCCCTAAGGAGCAATATGGAAGAAGAATATGAATACTCAGAAGAAGAAAGAGAGATCTTACCAAAAATTAATCACCGTAGAACACAGAATAGTTTTAAATAATTGTATTGTTATCTAAAAAGCACAGCAATATAGAACATGCTAGATTTATGCAAAGCATCTTAACCACTTTTTAGGGTAATGCTATCACAGAAGCATATATAATTCAAGTAAAGGATTAAAGATACCACACTGGAAGTTTTAAACCTAGTTTTAAACACTGGAAAAATCAAAGAGATCATTGTCAATTTCAGAAAAGGCAGGCACAGCCACACTTCTCTGTGCATTAATGATTCACCTGTGGAGATGGTTACCAGCATCAAATTCCTGGGTGTGCAGTTAACAAGTAGGCTGGCTTGGTCACTCAACAGTGAGATACTGGTGAAGTGGGCACAGTAGCACCTGCATTTTCTGTGTCGCATGAGGAAAGCACATCTTCCTTCCCCTGTCCTTACCACTTTCTACAGAAGGGACAATCGAGAGCATCCTGTCATACAGTATCAGTCTGGTTCACAGGCATCACTGCTTCAGACAGGAAGGCAGTGCGGAGAGTGGTGAGGATGACTGAAAAGATTATTGGCAGTTCCCTCCCTTCCATCCAGGACATAGCATATAAGCATTGCTTGAGCAGGGTCTGCAAGATTGTCTGGGACACTACACATCCTCTTCACGACCTGTTTTCCTTGTTACCTTCTGGGAGGAGGCTTTGTGGTATCTGAAGCAGAACATCCAGATTCATTCATTCAATTTGTTCCATACAGTATTAACCTTGTGAACTCTAAAGCTTCCTCCTTCCATTATGTATTCAAGATGGACAGTGATTAATATTTATATGTTACCTACAGATATATGTTTAAATCTGTGTTATGTATGTGTACACTTTGAGAGCAAGCAACTAAATTTCATTTTTAATGTGCCATTGTGTCCACAGTAAAAATGACAATAAAGATTGTCTGTCTGTCTGTCTGTCTGTCTGTCTATCTATCCCATTTCAGAATTATACAGAATACTCTGAAGAACTATTCACAAAATATATACATTAATTATTTCAAATCAAAAATAAAATTGACAAAACATTAGGTTGCCAATCAGTAAGAAGCTACATTGATTTTGCAAAGTTGCTACAATCTTAATCAGCTTGTGAAATTCTGGCCATTTAAGAGATTCTGTGAAATATGTATCTAGAATGTATGTAGTTAATGCAAATTATGGTTTTACAATTATTACAACTTTTGTTTTCTGATATATGGATATACAGGTGAAACTCGAAAAATTAGAATATCGTGCAAAAGTTCATTTATTTCAGTAATGCAACTTAAAAGGTGAACCTAATATATGAGATAGACTCATTACATGCAAAGCAAGATAGTTCAAGCCGTGATGTGTCATAACTGTGATGATTATGGCTTACAGCTCATGAAAACCCCAAATCCACAATCTCAGA